ATCTTTTTGCCGGTAGCGGGAACGTCTTGTTGAACCGTGGCGCGATACTAACAGGATCTTCTGGTGCACGGTCCGCGATAAATCGATGGTGGAAGGTGGATCGCGCGTGGCAATCGGAGGCTCGTTTAAACTCGTTAACCGGCGCGGCGGCGGAAAGTTTGCGAGCGTTTATTAATTGGCAATCCGTGACGAGGGAAGGGGGGTATTCCGCGCTGGCCGGGGTAGCATCCCCGGGGGCCACGTGTAACTTCTCGTTTTACACTTACGATCCGGCCGCGGTGTGAGAAGAAGTTTACGCGAACAAAAACAACGACAACAACAACAACAACAGAAAAAAAAGGAAAGAAAAACGGGAAAAAGTAGAACCGAAGAGAAGCGGCGGAGCCGCGGCAGGGAGCGGAGGGGCTAACGATAGCGTCAGCGAACGGGCGTGTCATGTCGTTAACCGAGTTTACTAATTATGGGTCGAGCGCGATAGCTGCAGAGCCCCGGCCGCGGTAATTTCGAAGCCGTGGATGTGTAAAAGCGTGATGTAATAACAGGAGCCGCTTCACCGAAGTGCTGGCCGCGCGATATTACTCTAAAAATCTCCGTTAATTAACTCGTAAAACTTGTAATAACGCAATGAATCAAGTTACACACCGCTGCTGTCGCGCCGCGGGGTCCCGCTCTAACCCTCGAACGTCCCCCTGCCCCCCGTTCCCCCTCTCCCCCTCTCATCGTGCACCCTATCCTCGGAGGAAAAAGGAAGGGAAAAGGGACGAAAAAGTTCTCGGTTCGCCGTGACTACGTTAACCCGCGGACCGTGAAATTTTTTAAATCAACTTTAATCTCCGTGCGCTCGCGGGCGCTCGCTGGCGCGCGCGCGCGCGCGCTCTCTCGCCATCGCCGATTAAAACTTCCGCGGATATTAAGCCGCGAAATTATTCGTCCGTAACTTCGTCCGCGACCGGAAGATCGCGTTACCGGAACAGGGAGCCGAACGATGCTCGGGAGTTTCGGGGGGGCTCGTCACTTGCTGCGGAAACTTGTTATATCGCTGCTTGCTGGTATCATTGTTATTAGTGTTATTGTTCGGCTGTTTATGGCGAAATAATTGAAGGTAAACGCTGGTACGCGGCACGCGCGAGCCGTTGCTTGTTTCGCTAATTGCGGATCATTGTGTTGATTAGCGAGTACATTGTGCTGTGATTAAAATGGAGCCACTATTAATATAATCCGACATGGGGAACTGTTGCGCGCGCGATCCGCTTCGAATGAACTAGCTGCGTTTTTGCGCAGTTGCTGGTCGAGCAAATTCCCGTGCGCGTAATCGGCTGCCCGCGACGTGGCGATCGCTGGTAAACAGAAAAAAACACCTTGAACAGAAATTATTGCTTGCATTCGAACGTTCAAGAACCGGGAAATGTGGTAAATTCTACCTAATCGGCGCTCAGATTGTGCACAAAAATGGACAATTTGGGAAGAGGGGATACGATTATTCGAGCTTCGCGGTTTATTTTTATAGTTACAATTACCTATTATTATTTTTATAGTTATTAATTGAATAATAGTTGTAATTTAACCTTGACATAACCTTTTTAACGTGGCACAGTCATCCGCAATTCTATCGACTGACTTTTGATGGTTAAATCGTTGACATTGTTAAAACCAATTTGCGACGTAAAAATTGCACATTTTAAAAATATTCCGATAATACAGTAATGTCTCTGTAATTGACGCCCAGATCGACCACAAAAATGGGCAATTTGGAAAGAGGAGATTCAATTATTCGAGCCTTGCGGTTTATTTCTATAGTTATAATGACCTATTATTATTTTTATAGTTATTAATTAAATAATAGTTGTAATTTAACCTTGACATAATCTTTTTAACGTGGCACAGTCATCCGCAATTCTATCGACTGACTTTTGATGGCTAAATCGTTGACATCGTTAAAACCAATCTGCGACGAAAAAATTGCACATTTCAAAAATATTCCGATAATACAGTAATGTCTCTCTAATTGACGCCCAGATTAACCATTTTTGTTTATTTTTGTGTGCAATCTGAGCGTCAGTTAGGAAGAATTTACCGTGATCTGCGGAAACGTTCGCAGAAATGTACAAAGAAATTGGCAAAGAAACGGAAAACATTTCCAAGAATATTTGAATTAATAAAAAAAAATCCCCTCGAACAAAAAGTGGTATTACTTCAATGTTGATCTTTCTTCGGACGAACATTTACCATCGAATTTATTCGGAAAAGAAGCTCCGTACGAAAAAACGTCACTGCACATTTTCGACTTATTTTTTTCACGCAGATTCGTCATCCTCTTCTCGCTTGTACCACCAGTTCGGCAACACCCTGTAAACAAAGAGCGAACGCTGCATCATCCGGGTCGATGCAGATCAAATTAAAGTGCATAATAATCCGAAAAAATGACCGCTGCATAGATTTGAATGCACGATAACGCGGCATACAAATTTCGATATTACATCGTTCGCGTCACTTTGCATCACAATGGAAGCGAGTGCTATAGCGTTCATCGTCCGCGAACGTATCAAATATTATATATATATATATATATATATATATATATATATATATATATATATATATATATATGTATAACTATATAATTTACATTTTTTTCGCTCATTAGCCACCGTCAACGTTAGGCGCATTTTATCTCGCGCGTCCCAAAACGATTCGTCTCCTCCGAATGTGTGCCAGGGAAGCTGAGAGGTCGGACACCCCCGATCTAAACGGTCGCGCGACAGCAATTAACGGGTCGCGCGGGTCCTCGCAATAAAATAAATTCGCGCAGCTTTAAATCGTGTCAGCCGGAAATATCCGTGTCTCTGGGCGGAGCGAGCGAGCGAGCGAGCGAGCGAGAGAGAGAGAGAGAGAGAGAGAGAGAGAGAGAGGGCGCGGGGGATTCAATTTTCGGGATTCCCGTCGACCCGTTAATTAGCCGTATTTCTATTGAAACGCACTGGTCGGACCGTCGGACGTATACGAAACATCTTATTCGGTGTTTATTAGCGGCGTCCACGTAGGGAGTGGTAATTAAGCGAGGGGCGGCGGGGAAGCGCGTTTGATACCCGACGCTGCCAATTTGCGAGTCGCGCGAAAGAGCTCCGGTATCTGAGCTGGGATTAATCCGAGAGAGCAGGTCAAATCGCAATGTCGAGGCCCGTTCTTTTGAATCTATCCGGGGCCGCTGTCGGGACGCGGCCCCCGTCTTCGATGGGTTCGTTTTTTCTCACCTGGCCGGCATTCATCGATTCCCCGGGCTCCCGGGGATCTCCCTGCGGCGCGCGGCTAGGCGAATAAGGTCTATATCTCCTCAAGTGGCCGTATCCCCGCGTTACAGGCCAATAAACCTGATTAACATTGGGCGTTCGTTAATTACGGGCCTCCTCTATTACGTCGACTTAGCCGTGCGTTAATGATTTCACGGTCCCGTGGGCTCTGCCGACGTATCGACGAATCAACGATACGTTGCCGCATCCCAATATGCATTCGGCTGCTGCCCCGCCGCGACCTACGGCGGATGCACGCGTATTTACATATTCCTCTCGTGCTCGGTGGCGTGGCGCAACCGCCTCACCTGTTAATTGCCAGCGCGCAGCCTTTTCATCCGTCCCGGTTATTTATGCGTTTCCTTGGAATCTCTTTCGTTTCCCGGTCCGGAACCCCGTCGGAAAACGGACCGGCTGGCAATTATCGGGATTTTATTATCTTTTTCCGCGGGGTATCGCGACGTTGAAATTCTATTTTCGATCGCGCCTCGGCCCCGCGGCGCGCTCCGACGCGACCGTCGAGATGTTTGCGCGCGCGCGCGAAACGGCGCGAGTTAAAATCCATCTTTAAATTGCAAAAAGGGTTCGAAGCGTTAGAGACAACACGGCGAAATGTTTGCGCTTTCAACAGCTGTCCCGAAGTAAATTCTGCCGGGACATGCACAGGTGTCAAAACCGTACAAATAAAAATCGCCCCTACCTGCGCCCTTAATCCGGTGAAAAATGGTCGGATCTCTCGCAAACAGCGTTGCCTAACGCGCGCGTCACAGTCCGTCCTCCATATGAAAACGCGAACTCGTAATTAGCCGACGTGTCTGCAGTCGGTTGTTGATATCAAGCGACGCGTTTAAGATTTCCCAGTAAATTGTTTACTGCGAACGGACACGCGTACGAAGCTTGCTCCGTACCGTATCTCAACAAGATCGAGCAACGGATGATGAAAATATCGAAACTTTAAATCTCTGTGCGCCGCGAAACTATTTGTATCGCACTTTTTAACAGAGACAGTTTCGTTTCGTTTTACACTGAAACTGGATTCTGTAGCTTATCGTTTTGTCAAGGAATATCACGTTGCCGTAGCTACATTATTTCGCACTAACTTTTTAGTGTGAAACACCAACTTTCATGTTTCATCGAACCGCCTCGGTGCACTTTATTACTTGATTCAATCGATTCGTTTGATAAAGACGAGAGCACCCACTGCTGGCACCTATCCGGATGCTCCAACGTAGCCCTAAACCTTCGCTGAGCCTCCGTCATGTTTAACAGCCGGTTGTAAGGTTTTTTAATTCTAGTTCTTCGATCGGCTTTCTCCAAAACGTCTCAAAAAATTTTCCTCTTCGGATTTTTTTTCGACGCGTCGAAATTGGTTGTGACGGAACAGGAAAAATTTGGAGAAGATCGAACAAGAAACTAGGTTGTCGCTAACCGTCGCTCTAATAATAGAATATAACCCGGAAAATCCGTCAACCTACTCAAGAAGATCCGAACGGACCAAGGGAATGGCGTGTCCAAAATGATCTGTTATTAAACTTTCAGAAGTGTCGTGTACAATTTTTTATTTCATCGAACAAATCGGCAATTACTTAGTTGCCATCCCAATACAATCACAACCGTACAATTCTCTAGATTTCTGCGGCAAGACCGCGTTAGATTTGGAGAAATCAATTAGCGAAGATCGACTTTAACAGTGTCCCGTTCGAATTGTTGCAGATAAGCATCGAGGTCTGTGATCGGAACGGCGAGAAAATGGCAGACACTCTGGGAAGAAGACGGTACCTGACGATCAGCATACTGCACATCATCACCATCATGTGCCAAGGCAAGTTCCCTTAGAAATCGATGCGCCGTAACAAAGAGCTCGGCGACGAAAGCCGGTTTTGCGCGATCGTTAATCCGCCGCGCGGAAAGATCGGCAATGAATCGTCGCTTTAAGATCGCGACGTTCAGATTCCCCTTGGTTTCCTTTTGCACAGCCACTCGTATAAACCACGAAAGATAAGGAGGGGAAGGAGGGGCGCCGTTCGCGGCACATTGTAATTTACGTTTTAATTCGCCGCGGAAAACGGCGGAATCTATTTTCGTTTAAGGGGCCCCGGCGTAAAAGAAAAGTATTTCGGTCGGTAATACGCGTTACATCTATTGCGGGGGCGCCGCCGCNATCCGAACGGACCAAGGGAATGGCGTGTCCAAAATGATCTGTTATTAAACTTTCAGAAGTGTCGTGTACAATTTTTTATTTCATCGAACAAATCGGCAATTACTTAGTTGCCATCCCAATACAATCACAACCGTACAATTCTCTAGATTTCTGCGGCAAGACCGCGTTAGATTTGGAGAAATCAATTAGCGAAGATCGACTTTAACAGTGTCCCGTTCGAATTGTTGCAGATAAGCATCGAGGTCTGTGATCGGAACGGCGAGAAAATGGCAGACACTCTGGGAAGAAGACGGTACCTGACGATCAGCATACTGCACATCATCACCATCATGTGCCAAGGCAAGTTCCCTTAGAAATCGATGCGCCGTAACAAAGAGCTCGGCGACGAAAGCCGGTTTTGCGCGATCGTTAATCCGCCGCGCGGAAAGATCGGCAATGAATCGTCGCTTTAAGATCGCGACGTTCAGATTCCCCTTGGTTTCCTTTTGCACAGCCACTCGTATAAACCACGAAAGATAAGGAGGGGAAGGAGGGGCGCCGTTCGCGGCACATTGTAATTTACGTTTTAATTCGCCGCGGAAAACGGCGGAATCTATTTTCGTTTAAGGGGCCCCGGCGTAAAAGAAAAGTATTTCGGTCGGTAATACGCGTTACATCTATTGCGGGGGCGCCGCCGCTAATGGAATTCACGTAATTATAAAGGAAACGTGTACCAACTACGAACGGCCCCGGTAAATAATTACGCCGCGAGCAACGGCCGGGAAGAACGCCGCCGGTTTATATCAAGTGAATTAGTATTATATTTCGATTAGATTCGCGAGACCCGGAACCTCGAATGGAATCCGGCCGTGCGGAACCCGGGCACGCGAGCTATTCCAACGAAACCGTTTCGACCGCCGCGAAAAAAACGGTCGATCGCGCCCTACCTCCCCGCCCCGCCTCCTCGACCGGAAACTATTATTCCACCATCAAAAGAAACAGTCCGCCGTACGAATCTTCCTATCGAGTCGTAAAGGCAATTACGTACCTTAACGACACGTTGCGCCGCGTTACGTCCGACCGAAATTATTGCCATTGCACCACTCGCGACGCAGCTTCATCCGGACTTCGATTATGCCTTCTTCACACTGTAGCAATTATTATGCCGTCTATACTTGTTCATTGCTTCCCGCGTCGCTGGAACTTTTATCGTTTCGCACCCTCCAGTTGCCTTGGACGCGAATCAGTTTGTTTCCAATCGTTCGCGATTTAACGGACTGCTTTTTTAGATTAACTTTCGTCAAAAGTCGATTCCGTTTCGAACGAATGACTAATAACTTTGTATCTATCTAATAAGATGTGTTAAATCTTTTCATTCACGATTATACAAAATAAGAAACTAATAACTTTGTATTTATCGAGTGAAACGTATCGGATTATTTTATTCGAATACGAACGAAATAAGAGAACAGAAAGATTGAATATATGTTAATCGATAAACATGAAGTTAATTATGCCCGAATACAAACCGCGGGCACGGCAGTTGTTCTCTGCACAGTAACCGGCTGCGCTACTCTATTTCGCGATAGGACAACTTCCGAAGCAACGGCGATCCGATATCTATTTTAGGACCCTAAGTCGAAATGCTTGTTACCGACAGCGACGATAAACTGATTGTCAACTATCGCGTCTGCGGCTAAGGGTCAAGACGCGGCCGAAATATCTCGACGATCGTCGGAATCGATTCGATGAAATTCTCTTGGCGCTGCTTATTTGAGTTCGGTTTTCGGACCCTGGATGTTTCGAAGTGCTCCGAATATTTACCCGTGGAAACGTTCGATCGTGCACCAAAGACATAAATAATGGCAAAAGTCAACAGACAATGTACCCTGCCCGTTTTTTACGCACGCGATCAAATCCGGGCAATCCCGATGTCGTCGATACGCCGACGCTCGTCCGGAATGGGTTAAATTTGCGAACGGTGAACGCGAGTTTTGCATTTTCGTAGCCGCAGTGATTGAAATAGATTCCATCGAAAGATTAGCTCGAGGGATTAACGATCTTGCCAGCACATCGGCGAGAGCGATGCGAAATAGAGTCGGGAGAGCAGCACCGATGTCGCGCTCGAGTCTCGTTCCTCAAGCAGCTATTTAAGCTGCTTTACATTTAACGAGCGCGACTGGCTGAATAGCTAAACTCGAGGACGATAAGACGAATTCATTCTTTTAGCGGTAGATAACCCGCGAGCGAGCGAGCGAGGAAACGAGGAAGCGAGGAAGCGAGCGAACGGATCCGTAGTCGGCCAGCCGTCGCGCGGCGTCGCGACGCGACGGTGTTTGCACGGTGAAACGCGAGGTTCCCCGTGTTCGCAATTAACGGGAAACGTGGGTGTCAACCTGTATGATAGATAATGGCCGGAGCGTGCCAGAAACTGCGCCCCGCGAGCCAAAAACTCCTCGCTGCCGATGAAACTGCTGGTCGGACACGCAACTTTGTTTGCGTGGCGGCAAATCAAGTTACAGTGACATTTTCTGCATTACTATTATTAATTATTTCCCTAAGCCGGAGAGATTGCATAAAAACGGGAACGTCGGCGGCCGGAAAGTTCATTCCGTTTCGTGTTTCGAGATAATGGCACCTCCATTAAACGAGTCCGCCATACTTTGCTGGAAAAATCCGCGCGATCTAATTAAGCCGATCTGTGCGCAATGAGCGAACGCCCTCCGGTGAGCGAACGTTCCTCGCATTATACGACAAAGTAACAATTATGATATCGCGTTAAAATTTACACGTTGCTGAAATTTCGTACGAACGGCTCGCGGATAGTGTCTTGTAAAAATTTATCGTTTCGCGTATTCGTCGACAAAATTGCCGTCGCAAAATGCTGGAATCGTGCTCGGCGGTGCATAAACTTACGGTATTATTTCTCGGAGGGCCGGCGATCGTTTCGACAAACTTGCAGCTGTATTTGCCGTTGCTTGTCGATGACAGATTTCAGATTCGAAACGATTTGGATTTCGTACGATCGTTCCGAGTAGCGTAGCCGGTTACTGTGCAGCGACCAACTGCTGTGCTCGCGGTTTGTATTCGGGCATAATTAACTTCATGTTTTAAGATGTATTAAATATATATATATATAATATATATTAAATAATAATATTAATATATATATATATATATATTATTATATTATATTTATATTATATATTTTATATTTTATTATATATTTATATTATATTAATATATTAATATATATATTAAATTTTTCTGTTCGATTATTTCGTTTGTTTTCGAACAAAATAATCCAATACGTTTTACTCGATAAATACAAAGTTATTAGTTTTTTATTTTGCATAATTGTGAATGAAAAAGTTTAACACATCTTATTCGATAAATACAAAGTTATTAGTCCTTCACTTTGTATATTTGTGAATGAAACAATATAACCCACCTTATTCGATAAATACAAAGTTATTAGTCCTTCATTTTCTATATTCGCGAATGCAAAAATGTAATACATCTTATTCGATAAATAATAATGTGATCAGTCTTTCATATTATTTATTTACGAAAACAAACATTTAATATGCTTCATTCGAACGAATATAAAAGTAAATTACCCCCGAAAATAAAGCAAAGGTACAGCAATTGGTAACGCCGCAGTGATCCGCTACGTTCTATGTAATTCCGCGAACTCGACGGTGGCTTAAAATAAATCTAAAAACTTGAATAATTTAAGAGCCCGATCCTCGACGAACTGGATCGTCGTTGGCTCTTGTTCAATGAGAAAATTTCGGTGGTCTTTGCGGCGATTCCTCTCGCGGTAATTCCGGGGATCCGACGCGTCGTTTCCCGACGACCCGTCACTTCGCAGGGGGTCCCTTTTTTTTCCTGGACGCGGTCTATGAATAGGAGAGGCGGCCATCAATCATCTAATTTCTCCAGTTGCCGCCCGTTAATACCAGGACCGACTTATCGCGGCGCATTTCTAAGGGCCATGGAAATCCCGGGGCGAATAAACATCGTGGCCCGAGTTACGGCACGGCACGACGTCGTAACTGCTGGTTCACTGATGGGACGGGATCAGTGTGTATAAGTAGCCCGACGAAGAACCGCGGGTTATCAGCAGCCTCTGATAAAACATATTGTGTTAGCGGCGGTGGCGTTAATCAATTTTCCATTCAACGTGCAATATCTTCGCCGTAGTATCGAGACCCTGCTCTCCGCTCAATGGGGAGAAGCCGATGCAAGGAGGTCTTAAGATCGCTGGAGACGGCCCGGGAACTCGTAATTATCGCTAAATAAGAAAGCAGCTCCCCTATACCGACCCTCGACAAGATATATTAAGCCCGGCGTAAACTCCGAGCCGCCTTAGTCGCCGTTCTTGCAAGTTTTAAGCGATCCGATCAGTAGAACGGCTCGCCATCCGGCGAAATCCGACTCTCCCGATTTCCCCGCCACGTGATTCGATTTTGACACGCTCAATGACGCGCTAATTTCATACGGATTTTACACGTTCGCGACGAGTGATACGATTATTTACAACAGGCACGTTAAAGAGAATGACTAGACCGCGGATTTTCATGGAAAATAAAACTTATCCGCATGAAATGCAAGAAATAGAAGTTAAACAGCAAGTTATTTCTGTCGGTGATAATTAGAATTGCGCTGAAAAC